AAAAAAAAAAAAAAAAAGGAAGGGGACAGGGAAGAGAGGGAAGAGGTTGGGGGGTGTACCAGACATCCCCTGAGGTGGGCCTTGCTAGGGGCTGTGGCTCTCCAGTGTGACAGACCTAGCCTGAGCTAGGGGCGGGGCTGATGAGGAGGCTGAGGCCCACAAAGGGGAGGTGATATGCCTGAAGTGGCTTGGGGGGGATGGAAAGCCAGGCCGCCAACCCCAGGGAAATGAGAGCTCTTCGGTGAGAGGCCACCACCCAGCATGAGGCTGTCCAAACATGCTAGCTCCATCTACTGAAAACACCATTTCCTTGGGCTAAGGTGGGAGGGACTGATAAGGCAGAACCACCCCTTCCTGAAGAAGCCCGCAGCTTGGCCACGGCCCAGGGGAGGATGCTAGGGCCACCTGGCAGGGACCTCGAGTGCTTGTCAGTTTATTCAGGTGAACATTCAAAAACACTTGACGGGAAGCTGAAGGCACAGCCAGGGGCGGGACAGGGCCCTGCCTGCAGGGAGCTGGCCGATGGTGGGGGCAAGACAAACAGGAGAGTTCACAAACAAGGTGACCTCAGATGGGGCCCATGTCAGAGCCAGAGCACACGGGTGATGAGATGGGGGTCTCTCCCGGAGCAGGCAACGGGAGCCGAAACCTGGTGCTGGGAGGAGCCGGCCACAGGGAGAGCCATGGGAAAGGCGCTCTTGGCAGAGGGCACAGCTTGTCACACGGGGCTCATGCAAGGGCCCTGGGGTAGGGGAACAGGGAGTGAGGGCAGTGGAGAGGAAAGGGTGGGAGATGGGCAGGGCCTGGGCCATGCTGGGCCTGCAAGGCATGAAGCACGGTGGGTTTTCTTGTTTTTTGATACAGGTTCTCGCTCTGTCGCACAGGCTGGAGTGCAGCGGTGCCATCCTAGCTCACTGCAGCCTTGAACTCCTGGGCTCAAGTGATCTTCCTGCCTTAGCCCAAGCTGCTGGGACCACAGGCAGGTTTGGTTGTGTGGAAGGTAAAGGGGAGATTGAGAGCAAGGCTGGGGCAGGAATGACAGGGCCAGCACTGCAGGCTCTCCTGGAAGTAGCCGAGGAGCACCTACCCTGCCACGTGATAGATGAGCAAATGCCTGAGAACTGCCCAAGGTCACACTGGCCCAGAAGTCAAGTCAGGGCAGTCTGGGGCAGATTAGAGATCTTTCTCCCACATCCTGGGAGTCTCCAGAGAGGAGGGACAGGGCGGAGTGACTGGGTCAGAGGTTTGGGCCTGCCCTGCTCAGCTGGCAGGGCTCTTCCCTGCTGAGGTCAGAGGAGATGGGGACACCACGGGGAGGCACAGCCAGGGTGATGCTCCTTAGCTGTTTGCATCAGCTGGATTCCACGGAGGCTGGGGGCCTGCTGGGAAAGGACTTTCGCTGAGGTCAAGGACTGAGCCCAGGCCATCCTGGGGCTTGGGGAGGCACGTGACAAGTAGGGGCCAGGGGCCAGGAGGACACAGGCCATCAAGGTGGGGACAGGAGGGCTGGGGCACACACCAGGGGTCCTGAGGCTGCCCTGACCCCCATCAGGGCCACAAGGGATGCACAAGCCACCTAGAGACCATGGTGTGACCTCTGAGTGTGACTTCAGAGTAGAATAGCCGGGATACGCAGGGCCACAGCTGCTTGGGCACCCCCAGAATGCTTGGGGTGGGGTGGTCACTGAGGGCAGCAACAATGATGTCTATCTTTTTTTTTTTTAGATGGAGTCTCGCTGTTGCCCAGGCTGGAGTGCAGTGGCATGATCTCAGCTCACTGCAGCCTCTGCTGCCCAGGTCCAAGCGATTCTCCTGTCTCAGCCTCCCAAGTAGCTGGGATTACAGGCATGTGCCACCACACTTGGCTAATTTTTGTATATTTTTTTTTTTTTTTAGTACAGACAAGGTTTCACAATGTTGGCAAGGCTGGTCTCGAACTTCTGACCTCAAGTGAGCCACCCACCTCAGCCTCCCAAAGTGCTGGGATTCCAGGCATGAGCCACCACGCCCAGCCGACATCTATCTTATAGATGGCGAAATCAAGGCTCAGAGACAACAGGCTGGCTATCTAGGACACTCAGCCTAAGACAACTGGGCACGCCTCACGTGCTCAGCCTGGCCCAAGACCTCCCGGAGGGAGATCTATCTCTGCTCACTCCCACTTTCAGAGGAGCATATTGAGGCTGGGAGAGGTTCCATCACTAGCTCAAGGCCACAGTGGAGTGAGGATGAACGTGGAGCCCTCCGGTCCTGCAGGTGGCGCACCTCACAAGCAGTGATCCTGACCATGGCCTCAGCGCCTGCCTGTCTGAGGGGGACAGTGGATCACATATCCCAGGCTGTTCTCAAAACCCCTTTGCTGTCCTCAGTGAGTCCATGGCCCTCCACCCAAATGTTTGCCCTCCCCCACACACTGAGGCCACCGGCTGCGGTCCCCCATGCCCAGCCGAGCTATGGAAGAGACCCCTCCACTGTTCACTCAATGATCTTTTATTGTCAGGTACCCTGGCTGGCCCAGGACCCAGAGAGACAAGCTGAGGTCAAGCAGGGCATAGCATCTGAGACCCATTTTACAGGTGAGAAAAACGAGGAGCAGAGGCCTGCAGGAACCTGCAGCAGGCAGCCTGTGCCAGGGAGCCCAACCCTGCCGGAATCGTCTGCCCTTCCCTGAGCCTGGCCCACAGTGGCTGCCACATTTCAGACAGGGCAGTGAGCGATGGGACGTGCCCTTTGCCCCTGCTGGTAGGGCATGGGGCCAGGGGGAGGAGCAGGACAGTGGTGTCTGTGCTGCTAGCTGAGAGGCAAGGCCAGGACCCAGGAGTGGCTGGGATGTGGGGGCTGCTTCCTTCTGTGTAGATGCCCCCACAAGGCTCCCCCCTCTGCTGACCCTTTACCTAGGGCCTGTCGGAAAACACTTCTTACTGTGAAGGGGACGAAACTAATAGGGGACAGTGGCGGACATGGATCTACCTCCATTCCTGAGTCGCAGCCCAGACTGAGCCTGGGGTCATGGCGCCAGGTGGCCCCTCTGGCCAGTCCACAGTTCTTGGAACTCAACATGGCAACCCAGGTCCTGCAGGGCGGCCTTGGCCACATCCTCACAGCTGCGGTGGTTCGACTGGGCCTTTGTAATGAGTGCCTCAGCCCCCAGGTCCAGGATGGGCTTCGAGAAGGCCCGGCTGCGGGACACCAGGTTTCGGATCAGCATACAAGCCTGTTTCTGGAGAAGAGAGCAGCTGTGAGCTTCCAGATGCAGCTTCGGGGTGGGGTCCACTCTGACCTCAGGGTCTTCATCATAACAAGATAGGGGTGATCATGACAACAGCAGATATCCAGCAGCTGCCTATACTGTATCAAGTTAGACCCATCTCTTCACTTTACCCTCTTGGCAGCCCCAGGAGGCGAGGCTAATGTCCCCAACTCCCAGGCAAGGAAACAGGATCAGGGTAGCTCCGGGATCGATCCTCTGGGTATGGAACTCCCAGCCTCAGAGTTGGTGAGTCGGACATTCCCTGAGGCTGGCACAGAGCTAAGAAGGGGCCCTAGGGCAAGGGGGGCAGGGAGGCCACAAGAAGAGAGTGGTTGTACACAGGCATCTGTCAACTACATCCTTACCCGTTCGGTGGACATTTGTGCCCTGTGCACCTGTTGTGGGTGGGTGCGGGGTGCTGCCTGGAAGCGTCCCAGGGTGGTTCCCACCACCAGCGGGAAAGCAGATGGGAAGCGCATGCGGAGTGGGGAGCTGCTGGCCAGGGTGGCCAGAAGTGGACAAAAGGACAGGCCACCAAGGGACGGTGTCCCAGAGTAAGAGCCAGCGAGAACAAAGGCCCCTGTGGGTCCCAGCCTGGTGCGTCCAAGGACCCTACGCTGGAAGTGGGGTGGCAAGGACGGCCCCGGAGGCTGCAAGAGGAGTCTAGGTTCAGCCAGGGAAGTGTGGACAGGGTGTCCCACACCCAGAACTCAGACCAGCAGCCCAAGGAGGGACTGGAACCTTTCTGAAATCCCTATCTGCACTTCCCCACCTCCTCCCCCACAGATCTCTCTACAAGGACTGTTAAGAAAGGAGACTGGTTGGGTGCGGTGGCTCACGCCTGTAATCCCAGCACTTTGGGGTTGGATCATGAGATCAAGGGTTTGAGACTAGCCTGGCCAACATGGGACCCCGTCTCTACTGAGAACACAAAAATTAGCCGGGCATGGTGATGTGTGCCTGTAATCCTAGCTACTCAGGAGGCTGAGGCAGAAGAATCATTTGAAGCCGGGAGGCAGAGGTTGCAGCGAGCCAAGATCGTACCACTGTACTCCTGCCTGGGGGACAGAGCAAGAATGCTTCTTGAAAAAAAATAGAAGATGAAGGACGAGGTGGCTCACACCTGTAATCCTAGCACTTTGGGAGGCAGAGGTGGGCGGATCACCTAAGGTCAGGAGTTCGAGCCCAGCCTGGACAACATGGCGAAACCTCGTCTCTACTAAAAATACAAAAATTAGCCAGGCATGCTGGCACATGCCTGTGATCCCAGCTACTCCAGAGACTGAGACAGGAGAATCGCTTGAACCTGGGAGGTGGAGATTGCGGTGAGCCGAGATGGCACCACTGCACTCCTGCCTGGGTGACAGAGTAAGACTGTCTCAAAGAAAAGAAAGGAGATTAAGTGTTACAGCTTTCTTTCTGGGGTTTCACCAGAAAGCACCTCCAAACTCCTCCCTCCCCCAAAAGGAAATTAAATGCAGAAAAAAAGAGGCAGAAAAGGGGACAGCTGCAGGCAGAATTCAGCACATTTTGGAAGACAGACGGAAGCCGGCCCTGTGGGGTTCAGCTGTGGCAGGGACAGGGGCAGGGACAGGGACCGGGACTGAGCCTTTGCCCCATCACCACCCGCATGCCACACCTGTTCCCATGCCCCCTCTGCACCTATCTGTACACCCTGCCCCATCCCGCCCGCCCCATCCCATGCCCTGCCCACCTGCACGCCGGCCTCCTGCGGGTGCGCCTTCATGGCCTGCAG